TCACGGCAGAAATCAAATAATGTGTGTTTTTGTGTCTTTTTTTTTTGTGTGAGTTAGAGAGGTTTTACAACATCTTTATTTTGAATTTTCATGCTGTTTTTTCAATTTTTGTATGTATGTATCAATTTGTCTTTATGTTCTATTTTTTATCTCTCTTTTATTTTCTATTCTTCTATTTCTGATTTTATTTTGATTTTTTGTTTGCTTTGGTAGATGGAAAACGAGGCAGAGACAGTGAATGAACTTCAAATGGTTGAAAAAGTTGGTGAAAGTAATGCTTCAACTGATTCAACAACCAACAACAGTGCATCTGAACCTGGTTCGAAGAAAAGAAAAATGGTTAAAGAAAGATCAATGGCTTGGCGCTACTTCGACAAGTTCACTGATGCTGAGGGTGTGAAAAAAGCAAGATGCAAGTTTTGTTCGGAAGAATATGTAGCTGATACCAAGCATAGCGGCACAAGCAATTTGTTATTGCATATTCCCAAATGTCCGACCAATCCCTACAAGGCAGAAGGTAGCCAGACAACATTAGGTTTTCAACCGCAAGGTCTAACAGGTGATGTTTCAGTTATCCCTTGGAAATTTGATCGAGAGGCATGTAGGAGGGCTTTAGCTCGTATGATTATTAAAGATGAACTTCCCTTTATTTCTGTTGAAAAAGATGGATTTAGAGACTTTGTGAGAACTCTTCAACCTTTATTTCATATTCCATCTCGTACTACTATGACTAGGGATTGTCTTGAGATGTACCATGAAGAGAGACTTGCTTTGAAGTCTATTCTTAAAGAATCAAAACAGAGAATATGCATTACTACTGATACATGGACTTCAATTCAAAGAATTAATTATATGTGTGTTACAGCCCATTACATTGACAATAATTGGAAATTGCATAAAAGGATTCTGAATTTTTGTCCAATTACTAGTCATAAAGGTCAAGATTTAGCTAGTGGTATTGCTAAGTGTTTACTTGAATGGGGAGTGAATAAAGTATTTACTGTGACAGTTGATAATGCGAGTTCTAATGATGTGATGGTTAGAGAGTTATCCAAGCAATTTACTAGATGGAACACTAACTTGATGGAAGGTAAGCATGTGCATGTGAGATGTATGGCTCACATCATCAATCTAGTTGTTCAAGATGGGTTGAGAGATGGGAGTGTGTCTGTTGAACGAATAAGACAAGCTGTTAGGTACATAAGACAATCTCCCGCAAGATGGAAAAAGTTTAAAGAATGTTGTGATCTTGATAGGATAACTTCTAAAAAATCATTGTGCTTGGATGTTCCTACTAGGTGGAACTCCACATATTTGATGTTGAAGGTTGCTACAGTTTATGAGGAAGCCTTTACAAAGTATTGTGATATTGATTATGGTTTGATGTCATGTATTTCTAACTGCATTTGTGAGGATGGACAACCTGCAGGTCCACTTTTAAGTAGTGATTGGGATAGTGTAAGACGTATTGTGAAGTTTCTGGAAATTTTTTATGAACTCACCTTGAAAGTATCAGGTACACTTTATATTACGTCTAATGTGCACTTTCTTGAAATATGTTTTGTTGATTCTTCTTTGAAAGAGTTGATGCAAAATGAAGATGCTTTCTTGAGAGAAATGGCAAAGAATATGAAAGAGAAATTTGACAAGTATTGGGGGATCCACATAAGATGAACAAAATGATTTTTATCTCATGTGTGCTTGATCCACGCCATAAGTTTAATACTCTTTCATTTGCGCTTGGTGCTATGTTTGGAGAAACAGTAGGTTTGAAAATACAAGAGGATGTGAAAACATACATGGATACTTTGTTTAATGTGTATGCAATGAAAAATGGTGGTTCTGGTTCATGTCCATCTTCTCCATCTTCTCCATCTTCTGGTCCATCTTCTGGTCCATCTTCTTCATCATTGCTCTCAAAATTCATGCTAGATTTAAAGAAGCATAAGAAATGTGGCGGAGTTGATTCTAAAACGGAGTTAGATAAATATTTGGGTGAAGATGTTGAGGAAGATCATGAAAAGTTTAACATTCTGGGGTGGTGGAAGTTGAACTCACCAAGATTTCCCACTCTTGCTGAGATGGCACGTGATGTGCTAGCCATTCCGATTTCTAGTGTTGCCTCAGAATCAGCCTTTAGCACCGGCGGACGCATACTTGATCCATTTAGGAGTTCATTGACTCCTAGATTGGTTCAAGCTCTTGTGTGAGTCCAAGATTGGCTTCGGAATGAATCAACAACTCCGGTTAAAATTGAAGAAGATTTAGATAATCTTGAACAACTTGAAGCTGGTAAGCCTATCTTATTACTTGTGTTTAATGTAAATGTATACTTTATTTGTATGTTTATTTAGATTACTTCTAAACTAATTTCTTGTGTTACTATCTTATTATACAGAATTTATGAATACGGGAAGAGAGCCTTGCATTGTCGACATATAGTGATTTCCCATTTGTTGTACAAGCTCAGGTATTCTTGTGATTTCCCATCCTTTACAGTTTATTATTAACAAATTCAATGTAAAACTGAAACCAATAAATTAATGAGCAGTACTATATTGTTATACTCTGTAATGAGCAGTACTACAACAAACTTGTTATACTCTGTTTTGCCCAAGCTATTGATGTTCAAATTCTTTGAGCTGTCTTTTTCTTTCTCTGAAAATGCTCTTTGAATTGTTTGAAATTGCAGATTTTTAACTTGTCTCACACTCCTACTGAGAATCTGAGATTGAAAGCTACATTTGGCCTGGTTGCTGGTTGTGTTGCTGGTTTGTGTTGACTGTTGCGGCTTCCCAAAAGTTGGAACTTGGAACTCTTTTGTTTTGTGTAATCTGTTAAAGAACTGTTGGGACTTTAGTAGTTTGGTTTGTTTTATTTTGCTATGACAGTATGATTTGAAAGACAATTGATTGTGTTTTGTTTGGGGTCTTCAGTTTGGTTTGGTTTAAAACTTTGAAAGACAATTGTTGCATTATGTAATATTTCAGATTGTGGTTTTGTTTGGAGATGAATGGTGTTTACTGTCCAGTAATATTTGTATGGAGAACTGGAGATGAATAGAGTTTTGTTTGCATTCTGAAAATGCTCTTTGGTTCTGTAATGTGTAATATCGTATGTTTCAGATCCATGCCTCTCTTTGTGCAATAAGTAAAGAAAATGAAATGTTGAATTGGACAATAGTGTCCTAAATGTTGTAAGTTGCAACTTGCAAGTATACAGCAAATGATGTTAATCTCCTTTCATATGTGTGTATATTGAACATTGTTAAGTTCGAACAAGTATATGGAAAGTGATTGCTCAATTTGTATTTGGAAAGTGATTGCCAGCATCTGTTTATGTACTTCGAACAAGTACTCCAGTGAGTGACAATCTGATCCGACAATCCGAAAAATTATCCGATCCAAAGTTTAAAATCCGATCCGATCCAATGTTAATTCGGATCGGATTTGGATTGCCCTTTTCAGAATCCTAAATCCGAAATCCGAATCCGAAATATGCTAATTCCGATCCAATCCGATCTGTGCACAGCCCTACTTCGGGGATGGTTGTTGATATTTCCTCACTATTTCGATGTTATACTTGAACTCAGTCATGTATTTTCCACTATTTTTGAAACTCAACCAAGTTATTTTGCTTTAACACTTGAAATGATATTTCTAATACTATTTTTGGGCTGAGCATCATGTTTTACCGTTGCCCGAGGGGCTTATGTGATTTTAGACTGAGTAAGGCCGAGAGCCTTAGTTGTGAGGATACTTCTGGGTCGGGTTGCACGCCGCAGTAGTGTAATACTGATACTGATATGAGGCTGAGGACCTAGAATTGATGCCACGAGATGGCTTGATATTGCGCTTGGGCTGTAGGAGCCCCTTCGGAGTTTGTACACACCCCTAGTGAGCGCCGTCGACGTTAAATGGATCGGGCTGTACGTCGCAGCGTGGAGGGGGCTGCACGCCGCAGCGGTATTTGTATTGTGTTATGTGTTTACTTTATCTCATTTGTCTGCCATTATCTGTTTTTGTGCTACTCCTTGCAATAATCACCTGATATTCTGTTATTATCTGATAATTGAGTGTTGTGCCCGAGGGGCGGAATTCTGTGCATATCGGCACTAAATATTTTGAAATTATTTCGCAACTGTTGAAAAGACCATTTTCAAAAAGAGACTTAAACTGAGTCAAGTTATTTCTAAAGATTTCACAGCTTCACTACTTTACTCAAAAGGGGTTTCTCTGCTTCTATACAGCATGATGATCTGTTATACGTGATTTCTTATTGCTCAGTTATTATTTACTTTTATTACTCACTGATTTGGAGTACTCACTTTACTCCCTGCACCTCATGTGCAGATGCAGGTATTTGTTCACCCGGTAGCGGGTTTTAAGCTGGTTGGAGATTCTTTCATCGTAGCTGAGCAAGGTGACCGCCAGCGTTCGCGGCACCGGATTTCTTCCTTTGATTCTAAATTCTATTCCGTATATTACTGGCTCAGTAGTTGTATTTAGACTCTTCTAGATGCTCGTGACTTGTGACACCCCGGTTTTGGCTGCGTTTGGGTTGTACTCCCGCCTATTATTATTATAAAATCATATTTAGACTGCTTATTCATGTTTAAACATTTTAGAAAAGGAAGTTTGAGTTGGTTGGCTGGCCTCGTCTTCACGAGAGGCGCCATCACGACCGGAGCGGGGTTTGGGTCGTGACAAACACTTCCTCTCAAGCTAGTGAGAGATGATTTCACTACACCTAGCTTGTCTCGAAAAAACTGGAACTGGTCCTTGCCAAGAGCCTTTGTATGAACAACTGCTAGTTGGTCCTTGGACCTATCAAACTGTGCAATCAATTGTCCTTGGGCAACCTTCTCTCTGACAAAGTGATAATCAAGTTCTAGCATGCATTACTGGATTTGTAGTCATGTATAGAGCACTCAAGTTGTCACATAATAAGACAGGATCGGTCTTGATATACATTCCAATGTCATGTAGAATATAGCTTATCTAGGTAAGCTCAGCTGCAGTTGCTGCCAGTGCTCTATACTCAGCTTCAGCACTTGACCTTGCAACAGTATTCTGCTTCCTTGATGACCAGGAGACACAATTTGCACCAAGATATATACTGTATCCAGTAGTAGACCTCCTTGTAATGGTACACCCTACCCAGTCTGCATCTGAGAAACCATACAGCTGGAAGGAAGACTGTGATATGATTTTTAGTCCATGGTCGATGGTTCCTTTGACATACCTTAATATTCTTTTTACTGCCTGAAGATGCATGCCGTTAGGATTCTGCATGAATTGACTTGCAAGATTAACATCATGAGTAATGTCTGGTCTTGTGAGTGTGAGATACTGCAAACTTCCTACAATGCTTCTGTAGACTGAGGGATCAATTGCTTTGCCCACTGCTTCTTGTGGGCCATGCTTCTGAGCTAGTGGAGTATGCCTTGTTTTCACATTTTCCATATCCACTCCTCTAAGCAGATCACTTGCATATTTGCTTTGGTTCAAGTAGATTCCTCTAGGAAAATAGCTCACTTCAATACCTAAAAAGTAACTCAAAGGTCCAATCCTTCATAGCAAATTCATGCCCCAGCTTTTGCACTACTTCCACTATCTGCCTTGAGTTGCTTCCTGTTACAATTATATCATCTACATATAACAAAAGTAATATTGTTCCTTCTGCATCATGAAGAGTAAATAGAGAGGAATCAGCTCTACTGCATTTGAAACCAATATGAAGCAGAAATAGGCTAAATCTCTCAAACCAAGCTCTAGGAGCTTGTTTGAGACCATATAGGGCCTTTTTCAGAAGATAAACATGATCAGGATATATTGGATCAATGAAGCCTGGTGGTTGAGACATATAGACTTCTTCTTGTAGGTGACCATGTAGAAAGGCATTCTTAACATCTATTTGCCTAATGGGCCAATGTAGAGTGACTGCAACAGAGAGCATAAATATGATAGTTGTAGCTTTAACTACTGGACTGAAGGTTTCTTCAAAGTCAGTACCTTCAAGTTGTGAGTACCCTTTAGCAACTAGCCTTGCTTTATGTCTTTCTATTGATCCATCTGGTTTCATCTTTGTTTTAAACACCCATTTAGATCCTACTACATTCATTGTTGGAGTTCTAGGAACTAGTATCCAAGTTTCATTTTGATGTAATGCTACTAATTCTTCTTGAATAGCTTTAAACCAGTGAGGAAAACTAAGAGCTTCTTTTATAATTTTTGGTTCTTCTGATTTTGTTTGTACAGTAGCTAGTGAGGTATGAGTAATAGGAAGAGACTTAGCTTTGAATCTGGTGATCATTTTATGTCCTTGATCAGTGATTGCAGGTTCAACTTGAACTGTGTTTTCTACTTCTGTTGGAGGTGCTTCAAGCTGGTCATTGAAGTAGTGTGACAAGTCCACTTCTAGTTGCAATCCTCTTAGGTCTGCCACTGAGTACTACATAGGTGTTTCATCTAAGTGAGAGAACTCTGAGTGCAATTCATTAGTATCTGAGTTTTGCATGTCTGCAGATAGCTCAGTAATACTATGTGTGACCTCAACAACTTCATCATGATCAGACCCAACAGCATCTTTGTGATCAGCAGTTGGAGCAGCAGTTAGAACAGACTCAACACCATCACTTTGATCAGCTACAGTATCATGGACAGCTCTCAACACAGTACCTTGATTATTTGAAGTATTAGCTGCAGCATCATCATCATGATCAGCTCTCAACATTTCCCCTACAGCAGTAGAGTCTGACGAACCAGACTCAGTCTGTGATTCTGAGAAAAATTCAAAGAAGGTGGCCATATGACTAGAGTCATTTGGTGCACTGTCAGTCCTGTTTTCCTGCATATAAGGAAGTGTTAGTTCATCAAAGACAAAATGTTTTGACACAAAGACCTTCCATGTGGTTGGATGATAGCACCTATATCCTTTATGCAGACTGTTGTAACCAATGAACACACATGGATATGACTTAGGTAAGAACTTGTGTTTTCCCTTTAAGTAAGGGAAACATCTGCATCCAAACACTTTTAAACTGTTATAATCAGGGTGTGAGCCATGTAATTTATGAAATGGTGTTTCCTTCTTAAGTATAGATGATGGCAATCTATTTATCAGAAAAACTGTTGTGAGAAATGTTTCAGTCCATAAATACAAGGGTAATCTAGCATGTAGTAGTAGTGTCAATCCAGTTTCTACTACATATCTATGTTTCCTTTCTGCAATGCCATTTTGCTCAAGGGTGTGAGGGCAGGAAATATGCCTTACAATGCCACAGTCTTCTAAATACTTAACAAATTCTGAGCTTGAAAATTCACCTCCACCATCACATTGAAAAATATTGATATTCTTTGAATACTGTTTTTCAACCATTTTGTGAAATTTGACAAATGTTTCAAAGAAATCAGATTTTCTTTTTAAAGGATACAACCAAGTATATCTACTATGATTATCAACAAATAAAGCATAGTATTTCATATGTTGGGAAGATTCAACAGGAGAAGGACCCCATAAGTCACAGTGAATTTTCAATAGAGGTTCATTCTCAACTTTATTTCTCAATTTGAATGGCAGTTTACAACCTTTTCCCATTTGAAAACTAACACAAACAATAGGAGTTTTATTCCAACATGTGACATTGATAACTTTATTGTTACTAAGTACTTATAAGGACCTAGAATTTGGATGCCCAAGTCTGGCATGCCAAATATCACTAGAGTTTCTCATTGTCTGTGTTGCACTTAAGACGAGCAGGTTGTCCACCTTCAAGGAATATATCTCTCCTCTTTTAGCACCCTTGGCCATCAGTTTCCTGTCTTCTTGTCCTTTACAACAAAAGATGATTCATCAAACTCAATAGGACAACAATTATCTCTAGTAATCTTACTTACAGATAGCAGATTCTTTTTGAGCTTAGGAACTACTAGCACTTCACTCTTCCTTAAACTAGAAATTGTTCCTTTCCAAACATGTGTGATATCGAATTGTTGTCCATTTCCTACTATAATTTTATCATTTTCATTGTAAGGTTTAAGGTTAGATAAGTTACCTGAATTGTTGGTCATGCGAGTGCTTGCTCCAGAATCCATATAGTGAGCATTATCTCCACCATTCTGACTGTTTACATTGAGTGTGGCAAGAGCCTGTGGCAACTCTTCTAGTGCTTGATAGGAGAAGTCCCATATGTAGAAGCACTTTATTGCAGTGTGATTGTTCCTGCCACATATCTGACATGCTGATGATCCTGTGGTTTCATGTCCCTTAGCAACATTTCCAGATCCTTGATTGTTTTGATGATTGTTCTGTCCGGCAGGCCTAAAACCTCTACCTCTTGAACTGTAGTTCATGTTACCTCTTCTTCCTCTACATCTGTTGTTGTATGTCCTTTGTGCTGCAAATGCCATATTGTGATTCACTTGTTGTGAATCATCTCCTTCATCCTCTCATAGATCAAAACCTCTTAAAGAAGTAACCAACTGACTCAGAGTTGGATAAGGTGCTTTGCCAAGCATTACTGTCCTAAAAGTTTTGTATTTAGGACCCAAACCTCTAGCAAAGTTAATTACCTTGCTATCATCATCGACAGGCTTATGTATGGAAGCCAAGCCATCGCAAATACCTTTGAATTCCTTCAAGATATTCATCGATAGTTCTACTGCCAAGCTTGATGGTTTGAAATTGTTGCTTCAACTGGAATTCCTTGTCTTTTGTTGCCTGCAGATAGGTTTCTTCCAGGTATTCCTACATCTATTTAATAGTCATGCATCCCACAATGAGATACATACTTTCTTCTGACATTGTACCTGATATCCAACTCCTTAACAACACATTCTTTTCAGCCCAATCAGCAGCAGTACTGTCTTTGTCAACTCCCTTGCCACTATTTTTAACGCTGCTTTCACTGGTGCCTTCTACGTTTATAATTTCTGGCTTTCCTTCAATGAGATAGTTCAACCTCATCACTTGTATAAGTTGCATCATTTGTGTTCTCCATATCAAGTAGTTCGAAGGCTTCAACTTCACAGGGCATGATGCAATGAGATGATGAAGAGAGGCTGTTGAAAAGGTGTTGGAAGCCATATGAGAAGGATTGATATTGTGTAGTAGGGACTGGATTTTGGCAGCGGAATTTGCTTCAAAGAAGCTCTGATACCATGTAGAAAATATGGTGCAGAGACAGTGTCAAGAAGGCAGTATATTGATCGATTTATTAATACATGAGTCCTATGTATTTATACAGTCTTTCATACTGTATTTTCGGCTATATTACATAGACTAGGACTCTTCTAGGATAGCTAATACAAGGAGTCCTAGTTCTTCTAAACTAGGACTAGCTAATTACATAGTTATCAGATTGTTAGCCTGGTCATTATCTTCAACAGTTATTTGAGCTACAAATTGGCTTAAATAAATGAGGTAATTACTTGAGCATTTTTGCTGCTTCCTTAAGTTTTTAGAGCATCCTAAAAATTCCTTCGGAATTTGATAAACAACTAGACTATCCTGAAGCTATAATATATTAAGAATATTCTGGTTCTCAGGCATTGCTATAATATTTCATGTTTGTCACTTAAAAAAGACAGTCAATTTATTGACAGTTAGAATTGAGTGCAAGCTTAAGGACACAAGGGTATGATCTAGCGGTCAATGAAGTGGATAAAATTTAAAAATCATTTCCATCAACTAAAGCTTTAGTGTGCAGAGTTGTTCGGTATCTATACTGGTGAGAGATAACAGATACTCCATGAGAAATAACAGATAGTCGATGATGCACGCAAATTGGTCCGGACAATTAAAAAAATACAATTACTTAGATATTTCTATATTGACCATGAGCACAATATCTTTATATAAAAACATATTATTATTACATTTGGTTATCTTTCAAGGTTATGTGGTTCCTTAAATTTCATATAAAACATTGGTTTCGTTTTTTTTTTTTTTTGAACCTTTGACGTAGTTACTATCGAAGTTTGTGACAAATCTATAACCTTCACCGATTAGATAAATTTTCATAAAACATTATCTTTTAATAGTAATTAGTCATCTATAGTTACCCTTTGCTATATTACAGAATATAGATACATTTTCTGTGGTTATAAGATGTATAAGCTATTGTATTCATGAATACAATAACAAAATTTGGCGTGAATCAGAGAAATCCAGCTAATCAGTTATTATATTAGAGTGTTTTCGACTATATTCATGAAGTGAAACATGGAATTACTATGGGAGGTAAAAATTCCTCCTTTTAATATTCCTTGATCCATTGCATACCTTTAACTTACTACAGTATTTAACTCTCTTTAGGAGTTGGAAACAAGAATATGTCCAATTTTTCATACAATGAATTAAACACTCAAAATAATTTCTTCATTACGTTCCCGGCATTATTAATCCTTGCATAACTAATCTCTATATTACAATTTTTGTATAACTTGTTTCTAAACCAAACAACCCCTAAGGTTTCGAGTTCCAAATTCTACCACGATAATTTGATTTACCGCATTCAAAATTAATTATTTGTACTTATTAAATGTGTTTTAACACACATATACATGATTCTGAGCCAAAGCTACATCCGCGCTAATAAGATAGTTACAAAGCCAAATAACATAACCATGAACATTGTTGAGTTAAGGTCAGCAGGACAAAAAGGCCTTCCTCAATTAACATCAAGTGATCAATTACAGTTTCTTCTATACCGACGAGGAAAGGACAAAAAAAAAACAATCTGGAGTGTAAGTATGCAAATGAACACTCTCATTCCTAAATTTTTCTTATTCACACTTCAAAATTGGACAGTAATGAAGATCATGGGAACAAATGTATCAGTACACTGGAATTATCTAACCGGCAGCCCATATCCAGAACATAATTAGAGAAGATATGGAAATCGTTATCCAGCTGAGGAAGGAAAATGCAACTGATAACTGGTACTTGGTGCATTCCTCGCCAAAACTGCAGCCTCCCAAGTCGTGAAAGTACAGCACCGTTATGCCAGCTGAAGAAGCTGCTGCAGCGAGCGTTAGTATTGCTGTACACTGCAAGTAAATACATTCCAAAGAGATCGATAAGAGAATTAGTAAAAACATATAGTATGCTTCTTGTATATTTAGAGCGTACTGTCATTCTGCAGATACTAACCCAGTCTCCAACTACAAAGAGGCTCAGTAAAACATGATTGTGGAAAGCCTTCTTCTTTGCCAGGAAATAGGCGTCCAAAAAGGCAAGTCCGATACTCCAGATAACTTGCAAAGCCATTGAAGCAATTAAGTAGCTGCAATAAATGACATGCATATGAAAATCATCAAATTCCAGTAGTCTATTATCATATGAACACAGTAGTCTGGGAAAATGACAGAGTAATCATAACAACAACAACAACAACAACAACAACAACAACAATCCAGTATAATCCCACTTAGTGGGGTCTGGGGAGGGCAGTGTGTACGCAGACCTTACCCCTACCCTGGGGTAGAGAGGCTGTTTCCAAATAGACCTCCGGCATCCTTCCCTCCAAGAACTTCCCACCTTGCTCTTGGGGAGACTCGAACTCACAACCTCTCGGTTGGAAGTGGGGGTTGCTTACCAGCAGAGCAATTGGACATATAGATATTATGATATATCAACAATCAAAACATGTACTATTTAAAAAATTTCACTTGAACAGAATACAAGACTATGCATAAGTCACTGGTGTCTTTAACATGTATAACTCACAAAATGACTGAAATTAGTAAGGTTCAATAACTAATTGAGATAAACTATTTCATAAATCAAGGGAGACCACTTGCTGGAAGACATGAGTTATGAGGTTATAAAATGGCCATCCGCTAAGTTACTAGGACTCTTCACTTTCCATGCCGCACCCGTATCAACACGACGTGGGTGTTGGTGTGGGATCCGTACCAGATCTAGTCAACTGATTTTGGGTACTTTGGCCAAAATCAACGGAGAAATTCAGGACAAATACGATGATTTCTGGAGTCAAAACAAAGGCTAGGGTGAAGCTGAAGAAAATGGAGTACCTTGTATATAGAAATTTTAATGTCAGTCCTTCCCTTTTATCTCCTTCTCAAATTCTCCTCTTAATTTATACTTTCTCCTTCTCGGAATACCTTGTAAGTTTTTCACATAATGTCTCTCATATTAGACATATTATATAACTCTATTTTTAGATATTTAAATTATTTTTAGTCGAATCCTCGCGCCCGTGTTCCTACCTGGATACGTATCCCCGAATCATAAAATTTAAATCATTAAGGATCCGACCTCTAGATCCGCACCCGGATGGTACATCCCACCCGAGTCAGAGCAACTTAGGCCATTAGTGCTTAATGAAGGTTATTTATTTATTTTCCCCTACTCTTGGTTGTTTCTATGGTTTCCACTCTTTTTGCATAGTGTTTCCAGTAAAAGATATTGGCTAAAGAGTAGTACGGCTAAAGACTAGATTGAATGATACATATCAAGCCTTCCACATCATGTCTAAGTTTGAGCTTTCATCGTTCCTTACATGTCTAAGTTCACTGAACATGTAGCATTATAAACGACTTCCAACCTAGTTCTTGACATCAGCCAATATATTGACAGTGGCAGCTTATGCAGAGCCAAGCTGTCAAGGACAACAACAACAACAACAACAAACCCAGTTTAATCCCATAAATGGGGTCAAAGTTGTCAACGACAACAACAACAAAAAATTCAGTGAGTTTCTACAAGTGGATTTGGGGAGGATAGTGTGTATGCAGACCTTACCCTCCGGGAGGGCATAAAGGTTGTTTCCGATAGACCCTCGGCTAGAGAGTACATGAAAAGAAGTATTGGCCACAAGTTGTCAAGAGTCATTTTAGAAGCTTTTATCCCTTCACTAAACTTTAAAGCTTTATTAATATACGGGTGATTTCCATTTTATCCAGTTTTACAAGAAGGAGTATTTGATATACTTCCACCAGTACAAGTTGAAAACCAAAACTGGAGACAAAGTTAAAAGAGTTTATAAGGTCTAGGTACACAAGAAATTACTGTACAATTTGCATTTAAATTATTTCACAACACCAAAAAAGTTGTTTAGGCTGATACTCGAACCTACATTTTTAGACTGGGTTTCGCATTAGAGAGAACAACCGGTAACAGTTTGGGCATCAACGGCCATTGATAAGGCCAGGTTCTACCTACAGCTAGTAGTCAGTTGGATCAAAAGAACAAACTTTTACTTTTTTGATATGCCAAAGTCCAACTCCCCGGACACCCTTACCCAGGAGCCAAACTGTGGCTTTTCCCGGTTTGCCCATGTGACTTGAACCCCTGACCTTATGATTGGAAGTGGAAGGTCCTTTCCTAGGCTATGCCTCCCTTATCAGATCAAAACAACAAATTTTCGTAACTTTATTAGAACAAATAGGATTATAAGTTCAATCGCCCTAACTCGTTAGATATTGGTACAATGTTACAACATTTAATCTTATGAATCTCTAGAAGTAACCTAATACATTAAGTTACATTCTCTATAATGCTCAACATGTCCAGGAAACTGCTATTTATATACTTTTCTAGTTGACCAAAGACACCAAAATAAAAAAGGAAAAAGGAAAAAGAAGATATATTCTGAACCAAATGGCTAAGGAGCTTTGCTAATAGGAGATGCTTTGTTATCAAAAGTTAGCTATTCCTTTTCAGTTCATCACACAAGAAAAGAGATACAAACCAACTGTTCTCTCGTATTCTGGGATTTCTGATAAGGAAATTGAATAGTCATCATTATGTTAATCAAGACTAGCATCACGCTAAAGGAACTAATGGACAAATTCTTGAAAGTTCTGATGTCACTTTCTTCTCATGAGCCATGAAAGTGTTTGGGTTTTTGTATTGAATCATTGAGTTCATTTTTAGACTAAGACAGGCCTAAATCCTTGGGAAGATGCAGTAATAGTGTTGAAACTATGTTGACAATTTTGAACAGTAGGCCGAGAATTTCCGTTAGGTTCACAATCTGTTATCTTATTGATAAACGGAGAAAAAATTTCAATGATACAGCAATAATGCAATGAGCACAAAAGATAGTTGACAATAAATGTTGTGGGCTGTGGACAAATTGATGTTGCACACACACTCAAACGCTGAATTATGGAATCAATACGTTGATGAGTACACTGTGGCTCAAACTTATAGCTCCTGAGGAGGGGGTTCATGAGTAGACTAAATGCATCATACTCTTACAATGATTTTCAGAAGAGAAGGTTGAAGATAAAACCTATTGAGATAAAATCGTCTCTCTGTCAACTCTAAAAGTTCGCATTATGTTAAGTTAGGGTTGTTCGAATGCTTCAATTATGCCTCTTATTTCTATTCTTTATTAATTTTGCTTACGTGAGATTTGCAGAGTATAGACTGTCCAAAGCTTGGATAAAGGAGGAGAGCTAGGTCGGCAGTTATTGTAAAAATATTCATACTATGATGAATCCTAGAATAGAGCAGAATGAATACAGAGGATTCATAGAGGCAGCCCCAACTAATTTAGGTTCGAGGCATAGTCGATTGATATATATAAGTTTTTTGTTAATTGTCCTTGAGGAAAGAAGACTGAGCTTTCTAAAGTTTTAGACCTTTACGAGCTTGAAGCATTTGAAACTCAACAAATTTTTACTGGCACTAGACTCCCTTCTGCTACACTAGACTTCATAAAGATTAACAAGGTAAACACTATTTGTACACCTATCAAAGTAGCAAAACAATGACAAGAATTGCATCAAGATTTAAAAGAAACTGAGAATTGGCTTAGTTGATTCTACATTCGTATACTGATTCAAACATGAATTCCTCACCAAATAAAGGGTCCAAAAAAATTTAAAAAACAAGAGCAACCCGGTGCACTAAGCTCCCGCTATGCGCAGGGTCCGGAAAAGGGCCGGAGTCTATTGTATCTCACCCCGCATTTCTGCAAGAGGCTGTTTCCATAGCTCGAACCCGTGACCTCATGGTCACATGGCAGCAACTTTACCAGTTACGCCAAGACTCCCCAAATAATAGGTCCAAACAACTCACCTAATTGATAATTTGAGTAAAGGTAGCTGACTAATTCTCAAAAGAAATAGGAGTAATGAGCTAAACGAAATTATTCATTTGTTGAAATAGTTCATCAATACAAGTAAATTACACTACAAAAACAAATACATAAATGATAAAAGGAAAGGAAGAAGTACCAAAAAGCTGTGACATTGAAGAAATTTTTAGAAGTAACCATTGAAGCAATTGAACCAGCAGCAAAAAAGCACTGAGCCATCCTCAGAAATAGCCCAATCAAAGTTCCCGGTGTACCAGCAAAATCCCTCATTTGTATATCTCCTCAAACTTAAATCAACTTTTACCCTTCTTGATGGGTTAAAAAAAGCAACCCAACTAAGAAAAAACTATCCAAAGAACCTTTCTTTAACCATTTCTGAAGCAAATTCAAACACAAATTTGAGTTATTGATAAAGTAACTACCAAATACTATGACTTTTCTCCTACAAACTGATGAATCAAGAAACTTCAGCTACTTTTCTATAACCCCTTAAAAATTTACCAAAATAAAGGTGCCTTCTTGAGCTAGAAAAAAAAAAAAAAAAAAAAAACACCAAGTTAAAGATTTTGATACCCCAGATGCTAAAATTCAAGAATCTATAAGAGAATTTGCCTATTTGGAAAAAGGTACAATGAGGTAAGAGATGGGTGAGGTGTTTTTTTTTTTGGGGGGG